AAAAGTTGAATTGAAAACAACAGATAAGAATTAATTGTTCATCAGTGAAGAGATTCGTTACTCATTATCAGTGTCAGTTTCATCGTCGTTTGCATCCAACAGTTCACAGGCCTCATCAGGAACATTGTCACAGTATTGTTCATTTCCAGAACAATTGCACATCTCTGTACATGAAAGTCCATTCTTCAAACAGTTACACGGAGGCACACATCGTAATATTCCGCAAGAACACCGCACGGATGATTAGAAGTCCACATGGTATTTCACTCATTCATGAAACGAATTCACCGTTCTCTAATTTCCAACCACATTCTGATATAGACCTGGTAGGTGCAAATGTGCTCTTCGGACTGCAGGACGAAATGAAGCTGAAGTTGGGGGCAGACTAGCTATGAAATCTATGGTGGGTTAGAAGAATATATTTGTTCTCTGCCTACTTGAGAGAACCAAAGCATTACTGCTCAAGTGAACTAAGGAAGTGGCTATTTTCCAAAAAGCAAGTTGAAGGTTCCAGTCTGCCCCCAACTTCAGCTTCATTTCATCCTGCAGTCCGAAGATCACATTTGCAGGCTATGATTTGGAGTAAATTAGATGTTGCCACACCTGACCAACCATAACCATCAGAATTTGATTAGAAGTTAGAGAACGGTGAATTTGTTCCAGGAATGAGTGAACTCTACCATGTAGACCACCAGGACTTCTATCATCCGTGCGGTGTTCCTGCGGAATAACCCGAAGTGCGCCTTCGTGTAAGTGTTTGAAGAATGGACTTCCATGTACAGAGATGTGCAATTGTTCTGGAAATGAAAAAAACTGTGACAATATCCCCAATGAGGCCTGTGAACCGTTGGATGAAAACGACGATGAAACTGACACTGACAATAAGTAACGAATCACTCTCGAATCACTTCACTGATGAACAATATAATATTCTTATCTGTTGTTCTCAATTTAACTTTTAGAACCCGATGGTAGAAATTCTGAGCTGCAAATATTGTATTTTGTCATATCAGTGACTACTACTGGTCACTTTGCATAACAATAGATCAAATTATTAGTTCTTCATTCAAAAATCGTTTCTTTTCACCATAACTTGAACATTATAGGGATTCCCCTCCGTGCGCTCCAAGCGATAAAAAAAAATAATAAAAAAAAAACGTTGAATGTATGATTATCTAAAAGATAGCGCTCGTAAAGGTCTACAAACGAAAAAAAAACTTTCAGAATCGGTTGAAAACTGGCCAATATATGACTGTTTTCAATATGTAGTTTGGCAGCCATCTTGGAATGGCCGCCATATTAGCCAGTCGCGTATCTGAGACCTCCACCATCGCATTTCGTTTTCTCCAATGAGTACTTGAAGAGATAAAACTACTCGCAATACTCCATCAAATTGCACACGAGGGTGGGTTGAAGAAACTGACTATTAGGTATATGGAATTGATAAATATCCTTAATCATGAGAGTAGATATATCACTTTCGGAAAATGGATTGTTAATTGTTGAAATTTCAACTCATGGTGAAAAAAGTGTTATGCTAGTCCATTCCATCACATTCGTTATGCAATTTTCATTTCACCTATATCTTATAACACCTTTATAGCATATATTCAGTGTCTACTATGGTGTCTACGAGCCCAAAAATGGTAATAAGATACTTCCGGAGAGGAATGAAGTGAGTGGAAATGGAGAGATTAAGCCCAGCAAACATTTCGATCTCAGAATTGATCATCCTAGAACACGTGATTTTGACATGGTTTCTTGAAGGGCACACAAACTATCTGTTAGGTTACCTTCCCAGACAGCACCAGATATTCCATGAATCTCCCTATCATATTCCTTTTGAAATATTGGAATATTCTAGAAATAATCTGGAATATTCCGGAATATCCGTGGAATATTCTCTAAATATGCGAATGGGAATTCCTCAGATAATCATAGAATATACCCAAAAGAATATTCTATGTTGAATGTTCCTGGAATATTCCAATAAACATATTCTAAAATAAAAAAAGTGACCCAAGTAGGGATCGAACTCGTGACCTCAAGACTATCAGAGCAACGCCTTGACCACTAGGTCAGTAATCGAATTGAATAATGTTATACATATCAAGTTCTTGTGAGAGCATTGTTCGAAATCGGATCATAAACACTTTTTGTTTCAAAATCCCCTTATATCTAATTGATGTTCGATACTCACATCTCTGAAATAATAAATGGTATTAATATGTTGAGAAACATAGGAATATTCATGGAATATTTCATGAATATACACCACAGAATATTCAGTTGAGAATATTTCATGAATATACCGCACAGAATATTCAATTGGGTATATTTCATGAATATACCGCACAGAATATTCAGTTGGGTATATTTCATGAATATTCAACAGAGAATATTCAGTTAGGAATATTCCTGGGAGATGCATACCTGAATATTCCCTGAACATGTCCGACTATTCACTTTGGAATATTCCTTTTAGATGTTCCAGAGGCATGTATATATTCTAGGAGTAATCGATGAATATTCGGAATATACTCCTCCTCTTTAGCATATTTAGAGAATATTCTATGAATATCCAGTGCTGTCTGGGTTCGATGAGCACAGCCCTGGCCGTCCCTGACACATCCACAATATTATAATAGTTTCACCAAACAAAATTATGGAATTCTTTCTGGTTCCAAATCGGATTCCAAGGAAAACGATTCCACCAATTCTGATTTTATATGACAAATCTTGACAAAATACAATGTTTGCCCCTCAGCAACCTGTCAAATGACATTATTCTGGAGTGATTGATGGGTCAACGACTTATTTGGCTCGATCTTAGTTACCTCGTATGGGGAAAAAATGGAAGTGATTCAGAATACGAGAATTGGGATATAAGGGTACCCTGACCAATAGTTCGAGGGAACAATTAGGTGAAATTGCCCTAATTCTAGTCAGAGAGTGGTTTGAATTCAGATATTCAGAAGTCATTCATTACCTACTCGTGGAAGGTTTTACTGACATTTCTACGTTGTTCACTGTCATTTGGGTGGGTCGGAAAACGAATATATTATGTGCCGTGTTTCACGATCGACTATACCTTCCATTTACGTGTGGAGACTTGGGAGTTTATGAACATGTCGTTCAAAAAAAAACTTGACACTATAGAGGAAGGTGAAGATAATATCCAACCAAAGACCTAAACAAGAACTATTTTCCATGATTTCTTATTTTTTTATAATACACCTATTTGCTTCATCTTCTCTTTCGAACAAACGGAGTGTTTTTTTACTAGCGGTTGAATTTTCTTCTTTGATTTGTTTTTAGAGGAATTTGAAGCACAGAGAGATCTTGGCTCAAATCATCTGATTTATCTATATGGTGTATTGGAATACTACTTATGTTTCTATCATTCATAGGAGGCATCAGAGAAAACTATTGAAAACTGAAAAATATATTATTCCGCTACCTAATCAACCTATACAGACAGTATTTGAATGAGAATTTCACACCAACCATGTTCGATCATTTTAAAGCCTGTTTTTCGAATCGTTACCATAGCAACTGAACAAATTTCTCGAAAAATGTTTTTCTCCTTCTTGGGGACAGAGCATAAAATTACACTAGAAATTTTTTGACGTTTATAGGTCAAATGACATTCACATTCATCTTCAGATTATTTCAATATCATTCTTCTAGTCAATAAATAAAATTCATTTATCAACAGTTCACCATATAATATTATGTAGGTATACTTGCATATTATGAATTTACAAAAACACATGTTGTTACTATACGTAAGTTCTCACATTCCATCATAAACAACCATCAACATGTGAATTTTCTTACCGAATACCACTTCAGCTTCAATTGATATCCCTCGGCCTCGATCCTAGATATAAATTCAAGCACTCGTGATATTATTAGTAAAAATTTCACACCTCACATTTCTAATCAATTGAAAGCCTGTATTTCGTATCGTCACCATAGAAACTACACAAACTCAATAACATTTAACTTCAGATTATGTCGAATTCATTCTATAAGTTGATGAGTTCCTTCTAAGAAAATATATTGCTACCAGCTTCAGCTGAATGAATTCTTCAGAAACTGAGCAATTGAGATACTATCGACTCATGTTTTTTCATTGCATTCAACTAGAGTAGTTTCATTATATTTAATTCGCCCTAATGATATTGAATGAGCATATTTCATTGATACTGAATAGTACGTCGAGTGTCTTGTGAGAACATCTATTTCCAGATCATCTACAGTTAAATGAATTCATGAAAAATTGAGAAATTGCCCAACTATCGACCCATTTTTTATTATTATTGGTGGAATGAAATTAGTCAAAAATAATTGATAGTTGTTTGAACTATCAATCAGAGTTGGTATTTTGTATTCAATTCAGCGTTAGCATATTCTAGAATATTTAAAATAATATGTCAGTTTGGAATAATCCTCTAGCTCCAATTTACAACAGATTTTTGTTTTCTCGGAATATTCAGAAAATTCTTCCTTTTCTTCGATTCGAGGAAATTCTCAAAATATGCGTGTTCTAGAAACAATAGCCGGTTATATTTGAAGCTCTCATGATATCATAGATAGAAATTGCCCAATCTGATACCCCATCTCGAACAAATCAGTTGTTTATTAATGACTACCTTACTGGAATGAGAAGTGAATGAGAGGTTAACACTAAGAACATGAACTTTCCTGATCTGTAGGTGTCAAGCGTTAACCTCGCTTCAATCTGAAAATAATCGACATCAAGGAAAGAAACACTTGCATCAATATTTGATTATATGAATCGATGCATAGATTTCGGAAGGATGTGATTGAATCTGGTGCGTGGTATTAGCCAAGAAAATAGTTATTTTTTCCCAGTCATCTTCCATTGTCATTTCATCATACTCTTGTAGAAATGATTTCAAGTTTTTACTTCTCACATATAAATATTATCTCGAAGCGATTACAGAGGTTGATACTCATTCACGTAACATGATGTGCACATTACAAGGCTTTTTCTATTATCAATAAGTAAATACCTGAGGACACAAAATTATTTGATTACTAAATTGATTCCGTATAGTAGTTAAAATGACTTCGGTTGAGCTATCAGCAGAACAAAGCCAGCTAATAAAAAAAATCGCAAGTGATAATGATTTCACCGATCACCAAGTCAAAAATATAACGGGCAGTGCGAAAGGTGACAATTACTTCGGAAAGATCACTTCTGTTACGATAGAGGATGGCAACAAAAAACTGGAGCTGATACTGAAGTCAGCTCCTGTGGGGGAGATCAGAAAGCGAATGCCCTTACACAAAGCCTACCTACGCGAGATATTCGTCTACGAGCAAGTCTTCGCGGAGTTCAAGAAGTTCCAGGAGGAGTACCGCCTCTCCGAGCCCTTTCAGAGTTACCCTAAGCTCTACGCCACCTGTGATACCGAGTTCAGCGAGTGTTTGGTCATGGAGAATCTACGAGAAAGCGGTTATAAGCTGTGGAACAGAAAGCAACCCATGAACCCAGAACATATATCTGCAGTGCTGAAAGAGTACGCCAAACTTCACGCAGTCTCTCTTGCTATGGCTGAAAGAAAGCCAGAGGACTTCAGGAAACTGGTTAAAGTGATGAAGGAGTATATTTGGGATACTAATAAGGAGCAGAAGGCTATGTTTGTGAACTCAGTGATGGTTAAAGTGATGGATATTTTCGAGAATGATGCAGAAACAACTAGAGTTCTCAAAGCTTTCGAGAAACGTTTGCCTGATTTATTCTTTGATCCGTCAAGTGAGTCAGAGAATTTGGTCATCGAACATGGGGATTGTTGGTGCAATAATTTGATGTTTGAATACAAGGTAGATGAAATTTTCTGATAACTGATAAAGGACAGGTACTGTGAACAATCTTGGCAACATGCAATTTCATTTTGACAAGTTCAAGCCAAAGATCATCTATTGGTACTACGATCTTCTCATCTTGCTATTTACTACAATGAATCTCACTTTTATGTTTTTAACAGAGGGTAAATTGTGATGTAGGTATATGAGAAATATCCTTGAGTATTCGGGTTGATGAATATTATTGGATATTTTGGAGAGTATTGAAAAATTGTGGATAACAATTGTCACCAGATATTTCCCCAAATTCTTGAAGTAGGGGAATTGATTTTGTATGATTATTTCGGAAAATTATTAAACAACGAATATGTTAGGAAAGAAGCACTGATAGCTAATCCATAACAACAATACTGGGTGACACAGGAGACATGTAGCAGCCTGTAGTTTTTTTATTTGAAGAGATAAAATATTGAAATTCACAGGGGGTAAATAATAAATGGTAGTGCACTTTACGAACTTAACGACAATTTTTTTTCTACCAACTGTTTGACCGGTAGTGACCCCAACTTTTTTTTTCAAATGTCACCCTGTACATTTCTTCAGTCTTTTTTTTTTCGCCTTGAAATTCTCTATCCAACCATGTATCACAAAGTGGCATTCATTTCTCAATTCGCTGTTGAATTGCTTCTTATTCTTGCCAATACCTTGTGTGCGTATACCAAACTTCACTGGAAACATTTTCCAATATAGCGCTGTTCTCGAAAAACGCTGATGTCCATAACCACGCCACGAGATCATCAAGTAAACTCAGAACTCCTAAATTCAGACTATCTTTCACTGAGCGAAATTCTCTAAATGTCAGATTTTTTAATGTCTTACCACCAGCTGTAAAATCTTTAAATTTCATCCAATTCGAAAAATGCGTAAAAAATCATTTACTATCACACGCTTTCTATTCAATTGAGGAATTTCTTTCATTTAACCATGAATAACATGATGCTCACCCCAACTTCATAAACATATCTATAAAAATAAGTAGTTATAACTCAATCCTCTTCAGGGCATTGTTCTTGAGCATTTTGCGTATATGACGGTATATGTGAAACTTTTGAATCACGTGCATACATGTATATGTCACCATTACAGCACACAATATGTGTGTCATTTTAATCTGTTTTGTTCTTCAATGTCTGTTTTCTTCAATGTCCGTTTTCAAATTGTTATTTATTAAAATGTATACTTGAGTGTTCTTACTATAATAATTAAATCTATTGTACCTTGACTTGCTACGAACATGTAATTCATGTAAAGTGGTTAAATGAAACTATCTATCTATCTATCTATCTATTCAAAAAGAATAAGTTGGCATATCGGTTTACTGATGATATTTAAATTTCAAAGCCTACCAAGTGTCGATATATCATCGAATTCATGTCACAGCCAACTTATTCTTTTTGAATAAAAAGCAATTCAACAGCGAATTAAGAAATGGATGCCACTTTGATACATGGTTGAATAGAGAATTTCAAGGCGAAAAAGATAGACTGAAGAAAGGTACAGCGTGACTTTTGAAAAAAAAAATTGGCGCCACTTCCGGTCAAACAGGTGGTCGAAAAAAATTGTCGTTAATTTCGTAAAGTGCGCTACCATTTATTATATACCTCCTGTGAATTTCAAAATTGTATCTCCTCAAATGAAAAACTACAGGCTGCTACATGTCTCCTGTGTCACCCGGTATATTCAGCCGATATCGACACACGAGAGATGCTGTTGCTATTTGGAATTTTGACGAAAATTCAAGACAATTGAAGAATTTCATTTCAAGAACTTATTAAAAGGAATTCTCATAGGCGATGGATGAAAATCTTTGCATGTTTCAACAAAAACTAATCGAAGTGCTTCGTTCATCAGTTATATTATAAGGAAGCTTGGTGACATAATTCCCCAAGCGCCGCTATTTCAATAACAAATGTCCAATTATTGTGATGTAATGGGGAAGATATCTTTTCGCTTCATAGAATGATTCAAGAATATCTACAGGGAGAAACTGGAAGTGATATTCAGTTTGTTATTCTATATGTGAAAATCTTAACAAACGATAAGATTCTCACATAATGCTCAATAAACACGACATGTTTCGCTTACACGCAGTAGGTAGCTTCTTCGAGCAGAATATATATATATATACTATTACAATGAAATGACTGTTTTCATATATCTGCACGTAAAAATAAACACTTAACCCAATCGAAATGTAGCAAATTAAAACTTTTATACTATGGAACAATTTGATAAACACAAAAGTATTTGTGTTCTAGAAAATGAACACTCACGACTATTAACCTGTTTCAATGAATTTTAGATTGATAACATTTAATGAATACGGAACTTGTCGTGAATGACTCATGCACTTGACATACGTAACCTATACACTTGTCATTGGTGACTGGTTCACTTGTCATTGGTGTATTGTTCACTTGTCATTAGTGACCTAATCACATATCATTTGTGACTCATCTACTTGTTAGCAGTGACCTATGAGAAAACCACATATATTGTTCTCTGAAAAATGATAACCTTGATAAGAAGACAAGAACTCATACATTCTAAACATTTATTGTATATAGCTATGATGAATCTAGAGATCACGAAGAAGTTAAGACTGACGACAAATAATGAGACACGAGATACCGGGTATATCGGGATCATGCGTCCAGACAAACGGTCCATCATCAGTTGCAGTGGTACTTTTTTTTTTCTCCAGTGATGAGAATGAAGAAGTGAAATCCGAATTGACTCTCATATTCATTAAACGTAACTCTCTCCTACTTCAAGAATTATCGGAAGTGCAGAAAAAGCCTGTATATGTCAACATGTATGTATTTTATTATATTCGTCAAAGAAATATCAGATCAAAAACTCATCACCCCACAGCTCAGAGCGCGTTACACAAACGGAAAACCTTAACACATATGATATAGCAGTTGTCAAGGCGAGTAGTAGCAGTAACGCATGATATTCACTTCACAAGTGCTAAGATAATAATGAATCCGTGGACAGTGGTAGTGGTCGCTTTGGGCGTACTCTCTTTCATTCAGATAATATCGTTATCATTCACTCAATCAATAAGCATGGAAATAAAGATGAATGAATATGGTTCATGGTTTGAATTAGATATATTCCATTTGGAGTAGATATTTGATACTAGAGTTGTTGGATCAACGTTTTCAGATGTTTATTGTTCAAGTTTAATCATTCTTTTGCTAACTGAAGAATCATATGAGTGAGAAATTGATGCAAATTCTCAATGTACCTAATTGAACAGAAATATTTTAAGATTGTTCCTCTTCATTTGCAGAACCAAGACAACTCATCAGTTCCATCGAGCGTCAGGATCATCGACTGGCAATTATCCAGACTCTCGTCTCCAGCAATGGACTTGTCCTACTTCTTCCTGGTACACAGTCCGAAAGAGATTCTCTACGACTACGAAAACTACCTGAAACTCTACCACGACACCCTCAGCAAGAACCTGCGAGAGTTTTCTTGCGATCCTGAAAAGGTGTTTCCGTACAGTGTTCTTCTGGAACATTGGAACAAGAAGGCATGTCTGAGTGTCTATACGGCTTTCAGTATTCTGAAGCTACTGCTATGCGATTCTGAAGATGCTCCTGATTTCAATGAGGGCGATGTAGGTGGCAAGAATTTGATGGATATCTTGAGCTTCACTCCTAAAGATGGCGACGTTTATAGCACAAGAATCAGGGATCTTGTGGAGTTCAGTATCAAAACAGGGTTGTTATGAAAGTATCATCGATATTGAACCCAGTCTAATTGAATAAACATTATTTTGATATTAGGGCTATCAATATACAATTAAGTGATTATTCAGTTCTCTTTCATTGAGTGCAGATTTTTCATTTTCATTAGTATCTGGTGATGAAGATCGGAGAAGGAATGGTACAATCTACAACAACTAATGGAGTTGCCTATATTTTATAAGTGATATTGACCATACAGTTGCTTCAACAAAATATCAAAAATTCTGAAAGACATGAAGGACAAAATCATGAGTTTCATCTTTTTCGAATCATTGTAACTTTGTCTACTATACATGTCTTGATAAATGCACCCAATATAAACTCCAACGCGTGCAAAATACTTGGTGTAAATTCGTTTTCAATCTGAGGAAATATGATCACATTTCTCAATATATCCTGCAGCTGGAATGACTTAGAGTTTCTGATGTATTTAAATTCCATTTCCTTATTTCTTTGTACATACTGTTCAATACTCAAAGTGCGCCATACCTTTTTGATAAACTAGTCTCAAAACCAAATCACATAATTTTGACTCCAGACATTCCCATATACTCAACATGCCACAGCGTTCGACTACTCCGTTTGAACGCAGTTTCACCTGAATTGCTGTAAGACTTCCAACCTATTACCAATATGTTATGTGAAACAGTAGACACTATTTCAGTTGTTAACTCAGGAAGAAAAGGAATGAGAACTAACTGATTATAAATTCAGCGGATGCTGAAGGTTGAATTGCTTCGTTTGCCGCAATTTCCGCACAATCGTACGAGCATTATCTGAGCGTTTAATATAAGGATCAGAATATCATTTTGCTGGGTGGAGAAACAGCTACTATGATTGTTAGTGTTCTATTTGCACGGAAAAAACCGCATTTGCTGCTGCTCACTTCATTTTCAGGTGGTGTAAAAAAATAATCATTATTATCATTTGTATTATTACCATTATATACAACACTTACGAAGTCTACTCTGTTCATGCTATCTAGTCTTCATTGGCTGTTCCTCAGGAACTCCATAAAACATTTGAAATGATATGAACTGAATCCTTGTTCCTGTTATTGGACCACTAAATACTTACGGAAGTTGAGGTTTTCTTGAAGGTATAGCTTCCGTTGAGTGGGGAATAATACATGTCTAAAAAATTTTTCACAACATGAGAATATCGATATTTTCAATGAAAACTCAAGAATTGTTTTATAATACTTGAAAACTTGCAAAGCATCACTGCTCAACAATAATTTCAACAATTCGACGCTTTGTACAGTACCATGGTCACCTGTAAGAATATATTGGGTAATGATCAGAGTTTCATCTGTCATGAGTTACGGCTTGAAGCTCAGGAATTCTTTGCCAATGGAAGTATTCCGAAGAACTTGAGACCTTCAAACCTCCCTATCTCTGCTAGGTACGAACGGTGTTTTTCTGAATTCATATAGTAATTTCCTTTTGTGAGTTCCAAGGGATGAGAAAGGCGAGAAAAGAAGAAGCGGACATTTTAACGATGGTATTGCCAACCATGACTCTTTGATGATTCAATCCATAGGAGATCGACTGAACATTCTGTCTGAAAAATTAAGCATTTTACATCAGAGTTCGAGAGCAGTTTTGAATATGTTGCACCGACTGTTTTGAACAAATACATATTCGGTCTTACTTCTTACAACAAATTTAAAATTGCTTATATATCAGAACAGCATCTACAGCTTATTTGATAACTTAGTATTTATTATGAGAGAATTTTATCTTAATTTTTCGTTTTGAATGTTATGTGATCATATTATATGTTCATGTTATATGTCTTGAATACTTTTGTTATTATATGTTTGAACATGAAAATGTCAAAATTATTTGCGACAGGCGGAATTGAAAAATGGCTTTGCCATTTCTAGCCTTTCGAAGTTTTTAATTTCTATTTGTTTATCTATTTATATATAATTCATTATATTATACATTATTATTATTTTCATTATAATTATTATTATTATTATTATTATTGTGATGGAATATAAGTAGAACAGAAGAAAATTCAGTATAATAAAGTCAAACATCAAACACGTCATGGACTAGCGATTGAATTTTTCTCTCATGTTTCAAAATGGGCAAAACCCTACCGCAGTGACAGTTTGGAACAAATAATCTGATCTGTCCTTATAATGGGACGACGAAGAGGAACTCCGAAAATCTATGGAGAAATCAATATTTCACCTTCTTGATCAACCTACAGACAATATTCGAATCAGAATTTCCCAATCTGGTGCCCCATTTCGAACAAATTAGTTTTTTCATACCTACATTACAAAGTGCATGGAATGTAGTATTTCCGCCTCAATCATATTATAACGTACACATATCATCCCAATGCGACTACAGGTTGATATCCATATACACACATGTGCATAAAGTACAAGGCCATTTCTATTATCAATAATTGAATACTTGAGGACACAAAATGATTTGATTAGTAGATTGGTTCCGTAGAATAGTGAGAATAACTACGGTGGAGTTGTCAGCAGGACAAAGCCAGCTTATAGAGAAAATCGCGAGTGATAATGATTTCACCGATCACCAAGCCACAACCACAACAGAAAGTGTGAGAGGTGACAATTACATGGGCAAGATCACCACTGTTACAGAAGAGGATGGCAACAAGAAAATGGGGCTGATACTGAGGTCAGCTCATGTGGCGAAGATCAGAAAGCAAATGTCAATACACAAAGTCCATCTCCGCGAGATATTCTTATACGAGGAAGACTTCGCGAAGTTCAAGGAGTTTCAGGAAGAGTACCGCATATCCAAACCATTTCAGAAATACGCCAAGCTCTACGCAACCAGTGATGTAGAGCGCAGGGAGTGTCTAGTCATGGAGAACACACGAGAAAGCGATCACAAATAGGCTTATATCACAAAAAAAATTATTTCATAATTCGATAGAACTCACCCAAACTAGCTTACCACCGCAAACCGTTTCTTGCTGTGAGCTCCCTACGTTTCATGAAAAATTATTGAAATCTCCGATTTTTTGGACCTCTGAAAACGAGGCGATGATGTGACGTCAAAACCCCAATACTGAAACAAGACTATTCCAGACAGAGATGAGTGATACATGATTTCTGACAAAGCACCAAGATTGGTGAATCGGCAAGTTGATTTCTGGGACAAAGATAATAAGAACAAGAAGAAGATCAATTTTAACCCATATAAACTTCTTGCAGCTCCATGTAAAACGGGTCAACAAAGCAATGTTGCTGCGTTCATTAAATGTATTGGATTATTGTGAAATTGTAATGGTGCAAATGGTTTTGAGATTGAGACATTTCGTTGTCTATAGATTGTTTATATTACAATGATTCAACGTACAATCGACAACTGAATATATTTTTCTGCAGTAGTGGTAGAGTGGATATCAAAAGATATTTCAATATCGATTTCGATCTCTCGGATATTTTGATTGGATGATATGGCAACAGTGATGTGTCACACATGGGTCACGCTCATTGGTTCCAGAGTGAATTAGCGCGAGATCACAGTTGGAAGAATTAATATAGCAGTTGCCTCAGTCTCCCTCGATGAGGTTTCTACGTCATAAGAGGGTTCGTTTTCAGAAGGTAATATCATTTATGTCCAAAAATAAAACATTCCAGTTAATTTTTCGATCGAATTATGTCGTTAATCATTAGTTATGTACTGAAGGATCATTATAAACATGGTTTGAGTTGAAAGTTTTACTAAAGTGTACACGCCCATTGTGGAACAGGAAGCTAGCGATGTACCCAGAACACATCTCTGCAGTGCTGAAAGAGTACGCCAAACTACACGCAGTCTCTTTAGCTATGGCTGATAAGAAGCCGGATGACTTCAGACAACTATCTGAAGTAATGAAGTGACATATTGTCACAAATAGGGTTATTTTTCATTCATTCATTCAAATTAATACAAGGTTCGAAGTCATTGAACGGTCGCGTCTTTGTTTATTAATTCCAAAATTTTCGAATCGTGAACGAACTTTTTTCCATAGTTGAACATAAACACTGACGTGACATTGACTTCAACGAACCTGGACTATCGACCTGATTTCCTTACTGTCACGTTTCCGAAAATAAAGACAACTATTTAAAAGACGTAAGGAAGCGGGTTCGACAGTTCGACTACCGGTTCGACTGCGAGTTGGACTGCCAGTTCTAATTGTAGCTCTGTTTTTTAACACGACCACGGAAAGTCTTTTCTTGATGTTGAATCATCTCCGATAAAATGGCTTGTCGGTCCTTAGCCCGAAAAATCAGGCGCTTAGGACTCTGACAAGGACGCGTCGCGAATTTACCTTGAGAATGATAAATACGTTGTCATCGGTCGTCTGAAGCTGTGACACTGATGCCCTTCCTCCAGGTCTCAGAAGATAGCATGTACAAGCATAAGGTATGTTTTAAATTGTTATTCATATTCTGATTCTGAATAAATGTGTATATTTGTTGTTTTGGAAATGATTTCACTTTTTTTCCGACTATTCATAAATTGCCAAGGTTCATTCTCTATTGACAAAAAGAACACAGCTCAGGTAACCCCCGCCTACAGTTTGTGACAATATTTGGGAGTTTCATAGATAGAATTTGGCTTCATATGTGAGATCGGTGATGGTTCAACTTCAGGATTATTTCGAGAATGATCAAGACCTTACTGAAGCTCTCAAAGGTTTCGAGAAACGTTTGCCTGATTTTGATGATTCGTCAAGTGGTGCAGAGGATTTGGTTTTCGATCATGGAGATTGTTGGTACAATAATCTGATGGACAAGGTGGAATGAATTATCGAATGGGAAGGAGGTGAATTGAAATTGAAGTGGATTCCACTTTCATAGATGACAGGGCATATACGAAATCTCGAAAACATAACTTAATTCGACTTGCCGAATTCGAGCCAATGATTATCTATTGATACCACTATCTAATCTTGATACTCACTACAAGGAATCGTATTTTCATTCAATTACGAGTGGCCCATTGTATATAGAGTTGATAAGCATTGAATATTTGGAAGAGTATAGCAGAATTGTGAATAACAGAGATTGTTCAATATGAAACCAGCAGTGGCGGCTCGTGACTTTCATGACAGAGGAAGCTGAATGATATGAGATTTATTGTGAAAAACAACTCTACTCACCCAAATCAATAGCTTTAATGACATTCTGTATACCAGTTAACCTGAACTTAATACTTGAAGAGATGTGTTCCTGCGATTTGCAGTGTCTATCCAATCCGCGAGGCAAATTTTTCAAATCATTATATCCTAATCGCCTCCAACATGATGACTTATCGGTTGAAAATAATACGCAGAACCAACAAAATAGCTTATTCCTTACCTCAGATCCCGAATAATTATCAGAATTGAACGAACGATTTTGTTTGTTACCTGTTACAATCAGATTTTTTAATTCCGGTGTCGGACGTTTGTTTTTCACAATCAATTTATCTTCATAAGACGAAAGCACTGAATGGGTTCACCAAAAAGTATTCCACTAAATCGCAATCGTTTAAAACACTCATTTTTCAGAAATTTATAGAGCCCCTAACCATTAACCTAACACAAACATAAACAATGCACTCGCGCTGGATTGTCCGCAATTCGCGACGCGACACGACAAACACGTGCTATTCGGGCATATTCGGGCATTTGCATTGTACGCGTGGGTTTGGAATTGTGAAGGAGTCTAGCCTCCTATAGTTGTTGCCAAGTTGAATATTTTACGCGTGATTTGCAGACTTCAACGTGTGATGCGTGGGCAAGCACTGTTGCCAATTCAAAAATATTCACCTAAAAACATCAGGGAATAAAATCAAAATTCATGTATTTTGGTGTCCTTTTAATGAGAAAGTATAGATAATATCAGTTTAAGAAAAATCTCTGAGGAGGCTCAGCCTCCGTTGCCTCCTCTGAGGAGCCGCCACTGGAAACCAGTCTCCTTGGATTGCTGAACAACTCTCGTGATATAGGTACACGGTGGCACATTATCCTTTATTGTCATCAGATATTCCTCTTTATATTCGAAAATAAGGAAATAATTTTTTATCGGTGATTTGAAAAATTATTGTACAATAAACGTGTGAGAACAGGAGCAAAAGTTTGTATTCATGCAAGTACGCGAAGTTGAACTATGCAGCTGTTCTTGAAAATCTGATGGTGATTGTATTTCAGGAGGATATCAACGGTTTTATGTTTCCCTTCACTACGCGTCTGGAGACAACAAGAATCTACTACTTTTGTTCCTTGTTTGATAAATAACTATTCTCACAAGAAACTCATCAACCTATAGAATGAATTCGACATAATTCGAAAGTAAATGTAATAGATATTAAGGTAACCCTCTTAGGAAACACGTCATTTTGTGTGACGATGGGATTCCGCCAAACTTTCTTCCCGTGTACACACTATTTTTTTCTGTGACAGGAAAAAGTACGAATCAATATTGAATTCAGAAAATCATCGACATGAAATTAACAGGCATGACACCTGCGTTGCAGTTATCAAATATCTGTCAGTCTAATTCTGTGATTTGATGTCAAAAAATTGCGAATTTACTGGTTGTTTAGTGATTTACGTAACCGCGAAGACGAATGGAAGATAAAAGTACTTGCAGTTCTTTGTCGGGGACGGTGTTTGATGATTTATATTTCGTAACTATGTCAACAGAGATGAAATTTTCAACATTTTCATCCCTCATCACAGAAAAATATATATTTCTGCCAACTTTCGTGAAATGAAGTTATTCAAGAATGATGGTTTGAACTTCCACTATCTGTCTCATTAATTAAATTCATTTCACTTGATTATTTGGAATTTTCCCTCCTCGTTTCTATGAAATGAAAATATGAGTATTATCTCAATATACAGGGTTTTTCACTTGAAACTTCGCACGCCAATATCTCGAAAACGAATAGAATATCAGATTTCTGTGGAGAGTAGTCAATGAAGGGGGTCAGGTAGATTTTTTCAAAGTATAAAAAATTCAACGCCTACCAGAAGCTGAGCGTCGTGACGCTTCTCTACAATTTGACCTGCATTCTCCAAACACCAGTAACATGTCCACTTTTTCCTCATTGCTGAATTGAACCATTTTCATATAACTATTGTTAGTTTTGTTTGAGTCGAACAAATCAGAATATTTCTTATTATACAAGTTGTGACAATATCTCTGACACAGTACCGACAACATCTGTCGCTTGTAATTGCACTAAAAACAATTGCGATAACAATAATTGCCATAGTAACTAATATTCATGGCATTCTTGTTAAAATCATCCAGAATCGCATTTTTTGTCAATCAAGAAAAAAATATTTACTATAAACTGGCATAACTCAGGAATGAGTACGATGAATAAGTTCGAGTAAATAACAAAAGAGTTTATAAATAACATGTACTTTTGCATGCGTGTAATTTGATAGTCACTGCCATCGATTTATATTTTCGACGCGTCACGACGCTCAGCTCCTAGTAGGCATTGAATTTTTTATACTTACTTTGAAAAAAAAAATTGCTTGACACCGTCCATTGACTACTTGTTACAGGCGAGTGGAGTTTTGAGTGAAAAACCCTGTATACACAGTGAAAAAAAAATTACACCAGCTAACACCATTTGACACCAACCGGTGTCCAGTGAGGTCCTGATTGTTTTAGTGTCAATTAGCACCGGCCTTTTCTTCACCATCATAGGGTGTCATGTGGTCTTCTCTATTGGTGTTCGAATGAATCAAACCCCGTCGGAAGATACTCTGGTCTTAGTGCGAATGAGCTCTTCAGTGGTGTTAATTATGCATTTCCGTATATGTAATTTGACACCGTGGTGGTGTACTATAAAATTATATGGTGATTTTCTTGATGCTGAGCTCTACTTCTAGATAATTCT